GAGATATTGCAATAGGATTAGTGGCGCTTACAAAGAAATACACTTAAGGACAAGGCTTTACTGGTAAAGAGTCGCGAGCTCCAATCATTTTGGAACTCTAGGGCTCTCTAGTATAGCGCATACGTAGGGAGGCATCCCTGGTGCAACTCCTCCACCCTACAGCTATGTGGATTTGTTCTCGGTAGCCCCGAGTTCAACTCCTCGACCGTGTTGTGTAAATAACCGACCGGTCAGCCTCCCACCAGCTGGGATTCTTAATAGTTTATGTGCTATTTGCAATATTTGGTTATTTGTTTACAGTGTCCCCAGTTAACACAACAGTGCTAAACACATTTGACACTTAAGTAAAGTCATTATTATTATTAATATTATTATTATTATTATCATTGCACTTTATTTCAGCAGTTTGGTTAATGAACAATATCTGATCTCTAGGTCGTGAAGTTTCATTAGTTTGCAGCCAGTGTTTCGTACAATATCAACTAACGCAATAAGTAAACTTTTTATAAGGGGCTCATGTATTATTGCTGTGAATTAAAATGATGATGATAATAATAATAATAATGATAATAATGATAATGATAATAATAACAACAACTGTCCCAGTGATCATTGGAGCTTTCGGGCTTGCCAAGAGGTGAACAGAAAACTACATCGGCAAGATCCCAGGAAATATTAGAATAACAGAGCTACAGAAGACCGTCCTCCTTGGAACTGCTCACATACTTAGGAGGACTCTATCCATCAAGTAATCCAGCAGACTTATGACTGCCCTAGGCTCACGGATTGAACTCGGCACCACAAGTTAAAAGCGGCAAGACTTTAAAGACTTAATATAATAATAATAATATAATAATAATAATAAACTATATTGACCTTGAAATGTTGTTTTCGATTAAAACTAGCTGTCTATTTTAATAAGCTCAGCTTTGGCGGGAAGAAATCAGAAGAGGTTGACGGAAAACCCTGGAGCAAAGTCTTGTTCTCTTTGCTTCCTTTCATTTCGATCCCGAGTTTGATTTGCATGAAAATGAATCTGTAGTTTGAACAAATTTTCGTGTGAATGGCTTTACACGAAGACTCGTTTTGACACAGATCTAGAGTAAAAAAGCAACTCGGAAATGGCCTGTTTGAAAGTGCGTTTTAAATATTGATATTTAAGAAATAGAAAACATGTACCGTGTTTCTATTGAGTTTCAGTATAGATCTACTAGCGTTCTATCACGAACGTCGTACGCTGATTGGCTACGCTACTCACTATCTATTCTGTGATAGGTAGTGAGTAGCGTAGCACTGTGCGCTTGTCAACAAAATGACGGCCGCTTCGTGGCGTTTTCAAAGTGTCTGTGAAGAGGATTTAAGTAAAGTTTTGAACGACTAGTAGATTTATACTAATACAATTAGATTTTTCGCCCTCGATTTCTGTGCGCGATAGTTGACTCGAGCTCATAATCTAATTGTTTGATAGAAACACGACATTTAACCAATCAGCGCGCGTATTTTCTTAGGCCTGTTTTCTAATAACATTTGAAATACACAGTACATGACCACGAAAGAATTAACTTATTTTCAAAACTCAAGAAAAACGTAGCAAGGTTTTATGGGAACTCAACCGTTCTCTTGTTTAAAAGGTATGTAAAAAGAAATCAAGAAAAGCTGTAAAGTTACAGAAAATTCGCGTATTTCTACACTTCACTTCTCCAATTACAAATGTTGATGGCAGAAACACCTATAAACACAGAACAAATACGGATATGTAAACCACCAAATAACGCGTCAAGAAAACAGGCGGAAAATATGCAAAGCGTGACTATTTTAAGCGTGACATAACTATGTTCCGGCCCACAGTTTTAGCTAAAACTGTGGGCCCGAATAGTCATACCCATGTAACATTTTTTTTGTACCTTTACTGAGACCTCTTTATTAGCTTATATCCAATAGGCGAAGACCTACGAAAGTACGGAACTTAATTGGAACGTCATTTTCTACTGTTTGGAAAAGAGTCAACAATGGACTTCAAATAAGCCTTATAACTGATGCAAGGTCTTTCAATTTTTCATAGCACATTTTCCGAAGCAAGATTAGCCTGTCAATAAAAATGTTATTTCTGACGAATGACCTTGCGAAGAAGGTCGAAATAACTATTTTGCCGGCACGGGACATAACGCGGCCTGGGCTCCAGGCTGGTGCATCATGGGTAGACGGAAAGGAGTATATAAGGGGGAGTGTAGAACGTGATAGTCATCCAGGCCTCTGAATCAACCCTGTTTAGAGCTCCGTTTAATATCTCACCGCATTCACGTAAATTTCAGGTTGGTTTGTCGAAGGAAAATGATCTGGTGGAAAATTCGAACGACGAGAAGCAAATTTTCAGTGCTGAGCGGCGCGCTCGATCGACTTTGTCCATTCTGCAGAATAAAAGTTGCACCTCATTTGCTGCGAACGAAGGGCCTTCTCTTGTACGCGCCTCGGTTTCCTCTACTTCAATGGTCAGCACTCAACAGCAGCGTCAGGCCGTTCAACCTCTTATGCCCTCTGCGTTTACGGTTCGTCGTTCCAATATGGGAAGTTATTTCGCTCGTGCTAGACCCGGGAATTAGCTTTCTGCCTGTCCAGCGATGGCCAAACAGCAGCCCCCTCCGGCTTTAAAGTGGCTACAAGATCAGGACAAACCAGGTGTAGTAAATTTCATTTTTGATTATAATGATTTAGTTATCGAGGCGGTAGATATTGTACTTTGTCTCATTTTGTTCTGATATTGATCCTCTCGTGTGGGATTCGCTGGGCTATTCCCACGGCACATGTGGTTTTTCAGTCAGCCCACAGTGCGAAGAAGGCTTCAATTGTGTATTTATTTCTGGGCTTCTTTATGTATTTAGCAATTTATTCTGAATTTCATCAGTCGAGGTTACATGGTTCCCTTCTTTGAACTACAGACACCTTTTTTCAAGGCCAACAATGCTTCGGTGCTTTCTAACAGTTCCTTCGTGTCCAAAGGCTGTTAATGAACTGCTCCATGCTAACCTTGTTGAAGAGACTTTTTGCGTGCCTGATGTTATCAACCCGCTTTCTGTTTCCACGCGTAGCTCCGGCAAACAAAAGTTGATTCTGGACTAAAGGCACGTGAACAGTTTTATCTTCAAACGAAAGTTTAAATGTGAAGACTTAAGTCTCGCCATTCAAATCACGTATTTTATAAACACTTTCATCAGTTATTCAAATTTGATCTCAAGTCAGGATATTATCGCATAGAAATTTTTCCCGCGCATCGAAAGTTCCTTACGTTCGCTTGGGATTTTGAACTAGATCTTTCAGATATTTTCAGTTTTGCGTCCTTCCTTTTGGGCTGTCTTCAGCCCCTTTCATATTTACTGAAATGTTTTAGCCGCTTTTTTAATGATGGGGCAGTGGGGGCATTCCCACAGCCATCATTTCTTGATTACGGCCTTGGTGGGGGAGCTGACCCTTTTTCCGCCAAAACAAATAGTTTAGTCGTGGCGTGCATTCCGATTCGTACTGAATTCCGGCTTTGTTACCAATAAAGACTAGTCCCAATGGGAAACCATACAGATCATAAGGGGTTGGGAGTTATTCTCGACACTTCCGATGGTTCCATCAGGACGAATCTCCAAGCTTTCTCACGACTTAGAGACCTTGTCTACCCTTCAGCATCCCAAGCGCGTTCACGTCAAGCGCGTAGCAAGCATTACTGGCCTGATTTTCCTGGGACTATGTAGTATTGCTTACCCAGGATGCCATTTCTGAAATTGATTTTTGGAGACACACCCTAAATAGCAAAGTCCACACCCTAAATAGCAAAGTCCACACCCTAAATAGCAAAGTCCACACCCTAAATAGCAAAGTATATTGGGAGCTAAATCTCTTCCTGCCAAGATCAGTTTTTCTGATGCTTCTGATTCAGCTTGTGGTGCGTTCGTGCAATTGCAACCGGAGGTTGAACTAGTGTTTCACCAGAACTGGTTGATCACTAATTGCGCGCAAAGTTCGACGTGGAGGGAACTTTAGGCTGTGTGCCTCGCCTTAGAAACGTTTGCAAGACATCTATCATGTTCTAAAGTCGTCTGGTATTCTGACGACCAGAATGTCGCTTCCATTCTACTTAACGGCAGCCGGAAGGTCGACCTTCAATTGCTTGACTTCCATAGCGTTTCAAATCTGACTACAGTTTCGTAGTCTAAACCCTAACCCTACAGTTTCGTAGTATATCTTTGTGTCCTACGTGGATCCCCAGGGACCTTTAAAACTATAAAGCGGAACTAATCAGCAAGCGTATCGATTCTAATGATTATGAACTAAACGATGTTATCTTTCAGGGCTCAGATGAGCTTTAGGGCCCTCATACCGTGGACTGGTTTACCTGCAGTTACAACGCCAAACCACGCAGATTTAACCCTAGGTGAGTTCCGAAACATTCGATGCGTTTTGCCAGGACTGGCGATTT